CTGTGCATGGACTACAGAGTGTTAAACAGCCGTTCGATCCCAGATGCCTACCCTCTCCCTCGTATAGAGCAGATCTTGGACAAGCTACGCCAGGCCAGGTGCATTAGCACAATCGACTTGAAGAATGGGTACTGGCAGATTCCGATCCACCCGAGCTGCAAGAAATACACAGCATTCACAGTACCAGGCCGGGGTCTGTACCAGTGGCGAGTCATGCCGTTCGGCCTCCACTCAGCGCCAGCAACCTTTCAACGAGCACTCGACCGTGTCATCGGGCCCGAGATGGACCCCTTCGCCTTTGCATATTTGGACGACATAATCGTCATCAGTAAAAGTGCCAGTGAGCACCAACAACACCTACAAAGGGTGTTTGAGCGCCTCCGAAGTGCAAATCTGGCAGTGAATAAGGATAAGTGCAAGTTCTTCCAAAGGGAACTACAATATCTGGGACATCTGGTCACGGCAGGCGGCATCAGTACAGATCCGGAAAAGGTGTCCGCCATCAGAAGCCTGAAACCCCCTAACAACCTCCGGGAACTCCGTCGCTGCCTGGGTACAGCCTCATGGTACCGAAGATTCGTATCGGACTACACAGAAACGATCCACCCCCTGAGCCAACTGCTGAAGAAAAAAACACGCTGGGTGTGGGGAGAGCCCCAACAAAAGGCGTTCGACGAGCTAACGCGCAAACTTACCGAAGCCCCCGTATTGGCCTGCCCAGATTTCAGCCAGCAGTTCACGATCCAGACAGATGCAAGCAATGTGGGGTTAGGGGCCGTCCTAACCCAGGCTCAAGAGGGTGCGGAACGAGTAATCGCATATGCGAGCAGGCGGCTGCGCGGAGCGGACAGTAACTACTCAGCCACGGAGAAGGAATGTCTGGCGATAGTTTGGGCGGTCAGGAAGTTCAGACCCTATGTGGAGGGCTACCACTTCCGCATCACCACCGATCACCAGGCCCTCAAATGGCTTAACTCAATGGAGAACCCCACCGGACGCGTCGCCCGCTGGGCCCTCGAGTTACAACAGTTTTCCTATGAGGTCGAATATAGGAAGGGGAAATACAACGTCATTGCGGACGCCCTGTCACGGCAACCCGAGGAGAGACACGAGGAGCTTCATCGAGCGTTCACCGCGACCACCCAATGTCCCTGGCTAACCAGCATGATGCAACGCGTGGTGATGGCACCCGCGAAACACCCGGACCTCACAATCATCGACAATAAACTATATCGCCATACGCCGCCAGCGATCTGCGACGAGGACGAAAATCCATGGAAACTGTGCGTCCCGAGGGAGGACAGAAAACGAGTATTGTTCGAGAACCATGGTGCCCCTACGGCCGGCCACCTAGGGATCCGAAAAACGGCGACCCGCATTTTCCAGCGATACTATTGGCCAGGAATGTTCCGGCAGATAGCCAGATACGTCCACGGGTGTGAATCCTGCCAGCGGTACAAGGTAAGCCAGCAGAAACCAGCAGGGATGATGAGGACGCGAGTGCCGGAGGGGCCCTGGTGCACTGTGAGTGCCGACTTCATAGGACCCCTACCCCGCTCAACCACCGGTTGCAACATGGCCCTAGTCCTGGTTGACAAGTTTACCAAATGGTGCGAAATCGTGCCGCTGCGACAGGCCACCGCCACCACACTAATAAAGGCCTTCCGAGAACGGATCCTTGCCCGATTCGGGGCCCCAAAACTCTTCATCACCGACAACGGGAAGCAGTTCATCAGCCGACAATTCAAGCAATTCTTAGAGGAAATGGGCACGCAACAGCAGCTCACCGCCCCATACACGCCACAGGAAAACCCGACAGAAAGGATGAACCGTACCATCAAGACGACGATCGCGCAGTACACAGCCCAAGATCAACGCCGCTGGGACGCTCTGCTCCCCGAAATCACTCTGGCCATCAACAGGAGCGTGGCCGACTCCACCGGATACTCGGCCTGCTACCTTAACATGGGCCGCCAACCACGTTTGCCACGTGCGCTCTACGACGCGGGCCTGCTAGGAGCCGGCACTGCCGAAGAAACCCCCGACGAGAAAGGCAAGCGCATGAACGAGTTATACCACATCGCGGGAAGGAACATGCGTGAAGCGAGCCAAGAGCAGGCCAAACACTACAACCTAAGGAAACGCGACTGGTCGCCCGAGATTGGCAGTAAAGTATGGATCAAATCACACTACCTGTCCAACGCAGCGGAGAGTTTTGCCACCAAGCTGGCCCCCAAATACGACGGACCTTACCGAGTCATGGGTTATGAGTCATCGGTGATCATAACAGTACAAAGCCTAGACGGATCGGCAACCAAGAGGGGCCACGTCAACGAAGTCAAGGAGTTCCACGCACAATAGCCCAACACATCAACATCAGCAGAAATATCAACAACAACGAAAAACACAACAACATCAACAGAGAAATCAGCAGCAACAAAAAAAAAACAATAGCAAAAACATCACCTGAGTAACATCACCAACAAAAAAAAAAACACAACTGGAAAACATCAACCCCAACAGAGGAAAATCAACAACAACAAAAAACCACAACAGAAGAACATCAACATCAACCAAAAAAAAAAACACCTCAGAAAAACATCAATAGGAAAAAAAAAATCAATAGAAAAACATCAACATCAGCAGAAAAATCAACAACAACGAAAAACACAACAACATCAACAGAGAAATCAACCGCAAAAAAAAACAATAGCCAAAAACATCAACTGAGTAACATCACCAACAAAAAAAAACACAACTGGAAAACATCAACTTCAAGAGAGAAAAATCAACAACAAAAAAAAAAGCAATAGCCAAAAATGCCAACTGAGTAAATTCAACCACGAAAAAAAAAAAACACAACTGGAAAACATCAACACCAACAGAGAAAAATCAACAACGAAAACAAAAACAACAAAGAAACATCAACAAAAAAAAAGCAATAGCCAAACAACACCAACTGAGAAAAACCAACGACAAAGAAAAAACTACCGCGGAAAACCATCAACATCAACAGAGGAAAATCACCAACAAAAAAAAAACACCTCAGAAAAACATCAATAGAACAGGAAAAAAATCAATAGAACAACATCAACAGGAAAAAAAAATCAGTAGGACGACATCAACAGAAAAATCAACAGCCAAAAACATCCACTGAGAAAAACAACTCCGCGTAAAACGTCAACACCAACAGAGAAAAATCAACAAAGAGAACAAAAAAAAAAAAAACAGCAGAAACAAAACCCCCCACAATGGAAAAGCATCGACAGAAAAACCTCGAACGGAAAAAGAAAAACAACAGCATACACCATCAAAAAAAAACCAACAGGGAAATAATGAAGAAAAGAAAATCAACAGAAGAAAAAGCAGGGAAAAGAAAACGACACCCGGAAAACGTCAGCAGGAAAACAGCAACAAAAAAATATCAATAGAAAATCATCAACAAGAAGAAAATCAACGAGAATACAGGAACAAAAAAAATATTAAATTAATAAAAAAAAAAAAAAAAAAAAAAAAGAATAAGAAAAATAAAAAAATATATACGAGAAGGAAATCATCGAAAACCCACGAACACGAAAAAAATATCATCGAAAGTACAAGAACATACAGAAAGGAAGTAACATTGAGAAAATCCAACAGGGAAAAAAAAATAAAAATAAACAAAAAAAAAAACGCAACAGTAGAAAATCAACAAATAAAAGAAGTCAACAGTAAACAGGAAAACCATCACAGAAGAAAATCATCAGAAACAAGAATCAACAAAAGGAAACCCGCCGAAGAAAATCATCACCGGAGAAAATCAACAGCAACCAGAAATATCAACAGGAGAAAAGCAACAAATGAAAGAAATCAACAGAAAACAGAAAGCCAACACAGAAGAGAAGTGAACGGAAAACAAGAGTCAACAAAAGGAAATCAGCAGAAGAAAACCGTCTACAGAAGAAAACAACGAAAGATGCATACACACAACTCTCACGACAAGAAGGAAAGGCAGCAGCAGATCACAGGATCATGGCATGCAAAAGCAAATGGAAGACCGAAGAGACGAACTCGCTCTGGCGGTAAACAAGATATAAGCAAGGGAAACGAAAGACTGAAGAAACAAACTCGCTCTGTCGGTAAACAAGATATAAGCAGCGGGAAACGAAAGACTGAAGAAACGAACTCGCCCTGGTAAAAAAAAAGAAACAAAGACCAGAAAACCAACGAGAATACACCAACGTCAAAAAAGAAAAAGAAATAAGGAAATCAAAAAAAAAAGTCAAAAGTATATATAGGGAAAAAGACAGCCGCCACGAGAATACTGGAAGGCAATCGCAAATAATAGCGAAGAGAATTCAAGAGAGAAAAACATAATCATAATGCTTATCAGAACGAGTACCAAAAAGCAAAGGAACAACAAGTCCAGTCGACAAAATCAACAAGGTCCAGGCCACCACAAAACAAACCAAGGGCTCGTATTCGTAACAACAGTATCTGCGGAATCGCCTAGGCAAAACATCCCGATAACAACAGCAGCACACTAGAAACGCAAGGGACATAATACAACCACAAACAGCATCAAGAAGAATGCAACGAATAACAACAAGGCAAAGAGCAAACCCAAAAAAAAAGGGGCCAAGTGAGCAGGCACAGGCTATACAATAAAAAGCAAAATCACCGTAACAGTTATACGAAAGCTGAGGGAGAGTGCGAAGTATGTTAGGCGAGAGCAATAAAAATAACGGCAGTAATGAAAGAGAAACAAAGGGATAACACATGTCGACCATACGCACCCATACCACAAACGGCAATAAGCAATACATCAGACCAACAAGCTGGAACCCCGCTAATCAAGGTATGCAGGTTGCATTAACAAATCCCGTTAGCGGCTCATACAATGCCAGCCTACGTAGTAAATAAACATCCACGCAGCCAGCACTTCAAGTCTGACACGCACTGTGTAAGGAGCTAAAAGAAGTAAGAAAAGAGTTAGTACCTTCAGAAATTCATACAGCAGCATGGAACGCCGATTCGCTACCTATGCCAAAATCGACATCTCCAGCGGTGATTTCCAAGGGTTGGCCCTCGGCCGCTGGCTCAACGACCGGATCGTAGAATTATATAGCCAATGGGTGATGAACCAGCAAGCGGCGGCAGAGATTAGGGATCAGGTCTACCTGGCCTCTCCCTTCCTATACCGGAAAATCGCGCAAGCGATCCCCAACGAAAAATTGCTCCTCCGGCAGGCGCAGCGTAACCGAGTGGCAGAAAAGAAATGCCTGATCATACCTATTTGCGAGCAAGCCCACTGGCGCCTATGGATTGTGGCTCACCCCGATCTTACGGCTGAAACTAGCGCGATGTATGTCATCGACTCACTAAGGAACTATCCGACAGAGGAGATAGCAGCGCACAACCGACGTTACGTCCAACTCCTAAACCGGTGGAAGCACAGCCAGGATCTAAAATGCGATTCGCAATCAATGCCGCTGCGGAAGGTCCAAGTCCCGCCGCAAGCCAACCTTTCAGATTGTGGCGTGTACCTACTCCGGAACCTCGAGGTATACCTTCAACAAGATGAGGCCAGGTGGGACCCGCACGCCTTGTCCCTGGCCTGGTGTATAGCGGCAGAGGCCCAGCGAAGCCGAATGAAAATAGCAGCAGTGCTGCTGAGATTAGCAGCGGAGGAAGGAGAAACCCGGGCCAGCGCCAGTGAGCCCGTCGACAGCGCCGATGACGTCACGATCATCACACCCACCGCTGAGCCGATAACGGTGCGGACAATGACGACCGAAGAACCGGACAGAATGACTGCCGCTAAGGAGTCAATCAAACCCTGGACAACCGAGGAACCCGTCACCATGGGCGTCATAGCCCCCTACGACCCCGAAGAGGACTTGCGGCAAATACAGCCCATAATTGGGCTGCTAGGTGGTGGGCCAGCTACCCCAAAACCGATGCTCGGCGAAGGAGACGAGTGGGTCCCAGTGGAGAGGGGCGACCCATACGACTGCTACCTTCGCGCCAAACACAAGACGGGGAAAAGGAAAGATCGACTCCATGATTTCGTGGGGGGCCAGTGGTACCGCACAGTCCGAAGTCGGGGGGGTCAGATCCGAGTTTTTATTGTCGCCCGAAGTGAGGGGGGGATGTAAGGAAGCGATTCTGCCTCCTTACGACGCACAAGTCCGTCAGCGTTAGACATTTATCACCAGCAGGCAACCCGCCAGTCCGAACTGTCCATGCACGTCCGTTGGGGGTTCAATAGAAGATAAGCACCAAACGTAGGGTATAAAGTATAAAGCGCATATGCCTATGTAG